CATGATAGGGTACCCCGATATCCCACCCTGGCGTGAAACGGTGAGGATAACGTATAATGCAGGAAACACACTGATCGAGTTTTAAAATGGGCAAGAGTAGCAGAAACACAGACTTGCTGCTGCTGTACAAGTTACACTCGCTTTCTGCTTGAACTGCAACACGATAAAATAACTTCAAAAACAACAGGGCTGTGTCCATTACCTTGTGTGTATGACGTAGCCATTCTTAATCCAGTGATTCTATAGGCCTCTCTCAATGCATCCAATTTTTCCTCTAGTTTTAGAACAGCAAGGTCAAAGGGTGAGTTGGGGCTAGTAGTATACACAACTGTGGCATCTTCCCAGTGCAGATATGGGCAGTCAATCCGAACACGAACTGCAATGAGAAAGTATCTATATAACTATATTGAGTTCAGAGAAGAGCAACACTTCCATGATTGATGAAAATCAACAATAAACATTGCCAATGGCCTATCCAAGTGTATTTGAAGTGAGAAAATGCAAAGCAGGACTGAATTCTTTCTATTGTAAATCAGGAAGTAAACTTGCCCAAAAGGTTTTTTCAGATTCATTTCATGGGTTCTGACCAAGGTTCACCGGAATAAATCCCTGTCTTCTGAGTGGTAAATTGTAGATCATGTGACATAACTTTAATATCTGGCATAATCCACAACACAATCATGAGGCAAGTTTGATCAAGGACCACTGGTTAATTAGTAGTTGGTTCATGATGTACCTAGCACATGTGCAGTGAAGTGGAAGTGCGAACGACCGCTGTCCCATCACTAGGCCAAAGGGGAGAAAAGGTGTTAGCAGGAAGGCCAAAACAGCAAAAATAAAAGTGAAAATGGTTATTTACGAGTGGTATACAGTTCTTCTGTCTTTTTTTTTTTTATAATTGGTCCTCTCTGCAATGTGCTATTAAGTGTGATGCATGGCAACCAATGATACAACCAACCTCGATATAGACTGGTCGCAACTAGTTGACTAAAAGTTTGACCCTTTAGCTCTGACTGAGGGGCATAAAACTGTACTCATTACCGTGGTGATCGGTTGCTTTATGCACCACATGACGGCAGGTGAGAATGACACCCTTGTCTGCGTTGATCAACACACCAGATCCCCACACAGTGCTAGCCTTGATTAGAACAACAGACTTCATGCACTGCTGAACAACGAACAGTGGTCTACCTGAAAAATGAAACAAATGACGGGAAAGCCATTACAAATCTCACATGCCAGTGGTGTTACACTAGATTTTGTCAGAAACTTTAATTTATTTTTAACCCTGATCCTCCCTCCAAAGCCACAAGAGGTTCAGGTGGATTTTATGGGATTGAGGGAGCTACAAGAAAATATTGCCCAAGATTGAACAATTTTGTGCCAATTGAAGACCAGTGCAATATTGTCAGAGTGAATAAACCGTGTTTTTGTATCTAGGCATCTCATGACATTAGTATCAATCACATCAGGCTGGTGATTCCAACAGCCCAAGCAAATTGATTTGGATCACTGAAGTGAATATTCAAATCCAATTGTTAGCTGGTTCACCATCCAAATTGCAGATGTTGGCAGTTCAGAAATGTTTCAAACACTGGAACAACATGATAGTGCCTGTACGAATAACCTACAACCATGACAACACACGTGCCCAATATTGCTGTACACTGTTCACAGGTTAACAACAGCAAGTTTCCACACTTTTAGTGAAGAGCAAATACTCAGGACAGTATCAAAATACTATTGTCCTTATGCAAGTACTAATACTGTACTCCTCCCACAGCAACAAAATACTCAACAATGAACCGGCCTGTTATTCCAACAAGGCATGCCCAATACAAGGCTATTCAGGAAAAGCTATGTGCGATAGTTTGTCCTATTAGTGCAGCCATACGTCGACTCGTGTGTTTTCTCCCTGAAAGACCTTGGCTTTTTGAAATACTGAACTAGCTCATTATGGGCAACTGTGATGTGGGACATGATGTTTGAACACTCCAGGGGCGCATACCATCCCAGGTGAAGCAGAGGGTGCCATGCATCCCAAAGGGTGATAAAAGCATAATATCCCACATAGTCAATAACTGTTTTGTTACACATGTATCCTTCTCTGGAATTCTTTGTGATATTCCTCATAAAGTGTCTTGAATTAATTGGAGTGTCTTTGTCCACTGCTGCACAGAAAGTTGTATGACAAACAAAAGCTTCTGAGCATTGTTGTACTGGTTTGTGTTGATTGCATGTGTCTCGCTTGAAATCAATATTTTCTGGTCTTAAAAACCATTTCTGCAGAAGCATCTGCACGTGCCCTCAGGCTTAGCAGTCATTATGCTGAGGAACTTGAACAAAACCCCCCAGAAAATTTCAAATGAGCTTCAACTATTGACAATAATACTGCAGTGCTCCACCAGCTGATCATATTGTAGGCTGGTTTACCAGTCCCACTGAACTTCACTCTTCTTAACTATACATGGGCAAAAATAGCAGAGGTGCCCAAAGTGTCCCTGCATCATGGTTTGGACTGTGGGGTAGGAACAAGTCTATGGTGTCATGATGCACACATAGAGTAAGTCTAGGAAAAGATTATAGTTTGAGCTGAGTCCCAAAAAGAATTGTCTGGAAAATCTGGTAGAACATTGGGAACCAGGCCCTGGAGCATGGTCACACCACTCGTTATTATTAGCTCTCACTGTGAAGGGAACCCATTCACAGGAAAACAATGGTACAAAATGTCATGAATGTCATGAAAATTGCAGTTAATCCCAAAGCAAAATGTAACGATACAATTTTAAAAACAACTTCAAATACTGTTGTTCAAACATGATGTACAAAGCATATTCCTACTGAAAAAACATAACTGAAAAGCAAATAACCAGGCGATGAACTATAATTTGCTCCCAAACAAGCACAATGATGAGTGTCCACAATTTTCATTACCCGGTCACATGATTATTTGGAGCCAATGAAAATACAGAATTCAAGCAAGAGGTATAACAATACAATTATTCTCATGACGCAGAAGCCTGAAATGAATATATGAAATCCAGAACGCTTTGATGTATTTCCACCACCTTGATTAGGTTTGCATTCTCCTTGCCAGGAGGGAGGTGCAGAGGTGACTTTCTTGTGGGTCAGGGAATCTGTGATGCATCTCAGGGAGTCCAGGACTGCTTGAATGGAACAAACAAGGGTCAGACCAATCCATTCGTTGTTTTTCCAGCACAGTGGGGCAACTATGATACCTGCAAGCACACTAAAAGAAACATGGAAAACAACATCCTCAATTGGATACACCTTTTGTAACCACTTGTGGTGTAACAACTGGTGGTGAAATATAATGACAAGTTTGCTTATAGTAAGACAGATTTATTAAGTCAATATGCTACGTAACTTATGTCTCACATGCATGTAGAAACGTTTGGTACAGGTATATATGTTCTTCTTGCTTTCAAATTAGGTCCAAGGTACGGAAAGTAGAGCTAAGGACAAAGGTGGGCTTTGTAGGGCCCTGTGCACGCATCAACTCATATGTATATGACACACAAAACAGCAGAGGGACTGGGTTAACAGTGCTTACCCTTGGGTTACAAATTTCCACTGGGCTAACATCCAGAAATGATTCATGCCTGTGAACAGGCATGCCCACTCTTGTTTGAATGAATAAGTAGAGCCCTTATTCTTACAAATTTGCTAATCCCTTTTGCTGTCAAAATTAGATGGAGCAAAATTCACCAGTTAGTTTTCACATTAAATTAATGGACAATAATTTTTAATTTCAAAAGAGATGTCACTCTCGTCTCAATCCATTTTGCTTCCACAATTGTACACATAAAGAACAGGTTATGGAGTGCTTAAGACATTGTAAAAATGTGAAACCACGAAGCAGCCACTGCTAACGTGACGGTAACTTTCTGGACCCCTCGACTGATGTGTTTTGCGTCATACGTTGTGTTTACCTTTCTTGGTGATTTCTTCCAGGCTTTGTCAGATACATGCCTCCTCCTTCAGATCCTGGAATGCATCGTGCATCTGTCATAATGAGCTGGTGCTTGGGGCCGGCCACATTACTGACAATCCCCTTACTGATACTGTTGAGAAAGACAGCAGGACAGGTAGAACCAAATGGGGTTGTATGCAGACAGACGGGATCTCCTTGCTGTAGACAGAAAGCATCTTGAAGTGTGCGGGACCTGTGAGTCAGACAAGATCAGTATTTAGTTAAAAAGTCAAACAATGGCTATGTCTTACAGTCCAATATTTTTGGAGTCTGCATGTAAGCCTGATGATAAAGACAAAGAGCAGGAATGCTTGGATGAAAGCATGAGTGTTAAATGGCTACCGGTATATTGACTGAGTACTTAAATGGTTGGACAAATAAACATTTTGACCCAAAGCTTGACACTGTTAGACGTAAAAGGATGGATATTTGTATGACAGGATTCTAATAAATTTGTAATTTTTTCCCCAAGCCTTCAGATGAGTATACAGTGTTTATTCATATGTTGGTAGAGGGCAAATGCCTAATGTAAAAATCAACATATGCTGATGCAAAAATGACTTCTTACAATAATCTTATCTGCTACTAATCTGACTGAAATTGGCTTCACGACCCCAACAAACTTAGTCGTTGAGAGGTAAAAGATGTCTGCACAAGTAAACAGAAGGTGCTCGGGTCCAGTCCCACCCATGTAAGCTTGCGGATTTTTTCACAAGCCAATTGACAGTAATCAGAACATGTATATGGCAAACGTTTTAAAAGGGCAATCACTTGATGTAAAATTGACATCTCCCTGATGCAAAAGTACACCTTATAAGGATTCAGATCAGTTCATGTCTTTTTCAAATACTTGAAGTTCTAATACACATTTTTACCTTAATATTATATTTCTTGCCCAACCCTAATAGCCCATGCTTTTATCTTTCAGGGTTCTATTGAATATACTACTGTTTATCAAGGCCCTTCCAACTGTAGCGTTGATGGTTTGGACTATCAGGACAGCAACGGTCAAATATACACGCATTTAGGTTAGCATTGCTCTAGATGAAATGAAAATGCTATAGTCAAGTTTACCAGATGGCATTGGAGGGATGGCCCAGTGGACACGGATTATCCTTGCTATCTTGCAACTTCAACAGGGCAAACCAACTGATGAAATTCTCCCTAGGTAAGTTCCTGGAGACAGAGCTCAACCCAAAGGGCTCTACGCACTGGCCATTTGGAGAGTCCCTCCCTGAGCCTGATCTCACTGTCGAGTCGCCTGCTTGACCACTCTGCTCCCTTTGGCCTTCTCCGTATTCAGTGTACTTCCAGCCGTCTGTCTCCGGGATGATGGCCTGAAGGAGGTTGTGAAATTCTTGGCACTTCCAAAGTGAGATCAGCTGGGCTTTTCTGGTCATAGTGCTGACACCGGATTGCTTGTGACTGGAAGTATATGTAGGACTGTGCTTGGTAGCAGAAGTTGCTGATGAAGCAGGAAGAACTGCAAGATGTGACAGGACCTGCTGTGGTACCGGTAGGATGACATCAATGTGCACATTTTTCATCACTTCTGTTGCCGTGGAGTACCCATGGCTCTCTATAGGTAATATTAACAGCACCAAAACCATGTACACAAAAAATGTGCGTAATACGTTGTCAGTAATTTTTTCCAAATTTGGAATCAAATTTTCAAGCAAGATTTTATTCATTACTATACTCAAGGGCATACACATGGGTAGTGTTGTGCTGTTCAACCGGATGGCATACACGTGTACATGATAACACATTTCGGCTATGAGCCGGTTCAGTATTTCAAAGAAGCATGGTCATTCGAGAACACAGCTTGTGAGTTTGTTTCTGCATTCAATTGGGAACCCTGAACAATAGAGGACAATAAGATCCCCGATTGACAACTATGTACAAAACATATGGGTGGTCTTCTAAAAAAGTTAAAGTACAAACAAAAGAGAAATAGGGGGTCCCCAGTTGCAGGCAAATACACACTTCTGTGAGTTGGTGTATGACAGCGCTGATAGGGCCGACATCATGCAATTGTACTGCTTTTCCTGAATGATTTTGGGCATGCCCTGTCTGAATTCAAAACTGCCTCATTTTTGTTCTAGAGGCTAATTTTATAGCCCTGAAACAGAAATCCTGTGAGCCATTACTGGTCACTGTAGATGTTTTGAGCATATAAACCAAATACATAGATCACTTTGCAGCAGTACCGGTACATAAGGGTGTATAAAAGATGGCAAGCTATGTGTGAAATGTTGCATAAACCCTGCAGAAGCATGACTCTCAAGGGTTAGCATTTTGTGGTGGCATATAGTCGTGAAAAAAAGTGGCTGCTGTGTGTACATGTTCGTTTCTTGCTGTATATTTTAAAATACAGAGGCCAGCTCATTGCAAAATAACACCATCCACCACACGTGTGGATCCAAAGACAGGCATACTGAGGTTGGTACACCCAATTTATTAACTAATAAGTGTGAGCAGAAAATATTTGCATCCCTACTGGGTAAAAGAAATTTCTACTACAGGGTACCTACTTTTCACTGCTGGCTTGGAGTAGATTCTAGATGTGCCTATCAGAAACTTTCATTCTGGACAGATGACTGACACAATTCTTGTCCAGACTATCTCAAATCAATCCAATGTATGTTTTTCAAACCTTGAAAAGGTCTTTCCTGATGATTTCAATTCACAAGCAGAAGAGGAGACTGACCCATTTTTGAAGATGAATGGAATGTACGGTGAAACTGGTAATGATGTTCTTTTTACATACATGTGTCTTTCGATTTTGCAACACTAGAAGAGAGAGACTGGTTACAGGTATTTCACACAGCGACCTAGATCTGGTAACTGGGGAGCTGTATCTTTTTACATAAGTTTCCCTATTGTAACAATGCTCCACCTTTGACATGTGCAGGAAGATAAACCAGTAGGCAATTTTGTAGGTACATGTATTTTATTGAATTTTTGTAGTCATTTTGGTCCTTTGGGGGAACTAGTGCATGGTAACAGTAACACTCAAGAAGTACAATGGACTAAAGTCAATCCGGTTTGTAAGTGACTTCATCACAAAGGCAGAGGCACCATGATTTGCAGGCTCCCATTGGACGACCACTGATGTTGGGCGTTAACTTCCGGTTCCATGTTTTACATGTAAATGGCAATCAATGCATGTATTAACTCTACATGTATTGGGGTGCACGTGCTGTTGGCATGGTTTAAACTGAAGTGATGTCATACTTATGAACCGATTACATGTAATTGTAAAAAAATAAGAAAAAGAAAAAAAAAAGTATGTCTCAAGTTTTAGGATTCACAAAACAAAGTGTTGACAGTTGTCAAAACATATACTAAATATGGCCACAAATCTGACCTCTTTTCTGTAATGCTGGAATTAGTCCTTTCTTTCCTGGCTTGATCACGTGTAATCCTTGAGATCTCTGATAGTGTACAACCTCTGAGAAGACTTGACCGCTAGTCAAGACTAGTCCATTCAGGGGGTCAATTACAATCCCACTGCAGCTGTACTCTGATTGGTCATTTTCACCTCTTGTGTGGAACCTTTGCTGCTTCTGCACGTGGACGACACAGCTGTCAGCCAACAAGATCCGACTGCCGTCCATATCTGCTGGAGAGTGACAAAGAAATGGTGTGTCACTAATGTGATATAATTATTCATAGGGTATTGCTGCCATATACATGTACCTGGCTTTGTAGACCGTTGCTGCAATGGTTGACAAAAAGATGATTTTAGAAGGCAATCCCTTATTGGTTTTGATCAAATTTACAAAAAGAGTAGGTTGCCTTGTCACAACAGCAGTGCAGAGATATATAAATGTACATGTATCTGTGTGTATGTGTTGCTATAAATGGAAAATAAGGTCGGTCGAACATTTTCCCCCAAATATGTTCACAATTCTAAAAAAAAAAAGTTTAATGTCCCTGAATACAGCTCAAAATTCTAAAAAAAGGGAAAAGAAAGGGTGTAACTGCCCAACTCTAGCATGAGTCACTACTGCAGCGGGATGGCCACAAGTAGTGCTACAGTACTGTTGGGCTGCCCGGGCCCAAATGCATGCACAGTGCTTAGAAACAGTAGGACCTAAACGGTACAGTTATTATCGTGTCAAAAGCTAAGGCTGTGCCGAATATCCAAACATTCAATCGATTATTGAATATTTGAATAGTATTTTCTGAATCTGAATATTCGAAATGCAAAATTCATGAAAAGGAGGGGAGAATTTTCTTTTATTTTAAATGAGAAAAATTACACTATGGAGGCTTGTTTCAAACACATTCAAAAGAACAATGACAGAAATCTTATGATTTAAAAAGTACATGTAAATTATTCATTACAAAATTTAAAAGGAATAGAAATTTTCAACAGGGCGAGAAGTATTCATGTACATTGTGTGTGTTATTGCAACGGATTTCGTTTAAGATTTGTTCATCAGTTTGCTGGTCAGTACAACCGAAACATTGGACATTTGATTGAAGGTCGAATATTTGAATACTGATTTATTCAAATTGTTTGAGCCCTATCAAAAGCACAAAGTTAGCAAGCAACAGCTCTGAGTTAACAAAAAATTATTAATTAGAATTTATTGTGTACAGATTCATAGGTGCATGTGTGTACAAGCACACGTAAATGAATATGTAAAAGCATTTGAGGACTACACAAACAAGATGTCTCCTTCTTTGGGCATGTGCAGCTCTGAAGTATGAATCAAATTCCCGGTGCCCCCAAGATGCCCCCCACTAAGAAAACAAGATAAATGGATGAACGGATTAGGCTAAAAAAAGCTGGCTCCCAAAAAACCTCACCATTGCACTGAAAGCTGGTGCCCTCCATAAGACACTGGTGTCCTTGTGCCCCCCACTAAATCCTACGCTACTGCTGCATGGCAGATGACTAACCCAATTATGCCCACCGTCTGCTACCCTACTAAAATTTAAGGCCATAGTATTAGTAAACAATGGAACACAGCCATATTCAAATGTGTAAATGGGAAATTATAGAGTCTTAATTATTTCAAGTACCCTGCCTAGCCATGTCAGCCTGCCTGACCTGATTGGTCTTCTACCCCCAGAACTAAGGGTCCGACGTCCGCTGCTCTCCCACGAAGAGAGCTGCGGACGTCGGACCCCACAGTTCTGGGGGTAACTAATCTACCTGACATGTCTGACCATGGCCTGACTGTTCGTGCCAAATTTAGTCCGAGTAACTTGGAAATTGGACCCCGCAAATGGCCTTTTTTAACATTTGGACATGGTCGGGCGATAGTTAGTAGGCCGACAGTAGGATAGTAGGTCATGGTCTTCCCTACCCCCAGAACTGTGGGGTCCGACGTCCGCTCCTCTCCCACGTGGGAGAGGAGCGGCCGGACGTCGGACCCCACAATTCTGGGCTCCCCCACCCCCAAAAAAGCTGTCCCGATGCCTCTAATCTCAAAAGTTTAACGTAAGTGAATGACTCGGCCTATATTTGTTTAATTGAGGTAGCCACATCATTAGGCCTATCAGCCTATATTATAACCTAGCTTCTATTACTACCAAAATCACATAGTGCCGCACTCACCACCGAAGATCGTTGGGCACCACCCTCTTCATCAGCCTCTCACAAACACACTAGCTAGCGGAGCAAGAGAGGGCGTAGTTTTATGGTACTCACCTCATGCTTTATAAGCGCGCCGGGCGCGGGAGCTGAGGCGCGTTTGACGCGGAGAACGTAGTCTTGGTTCCAAGACCTTCCAGTAGTTATTCCGCGCGCGATCCGGCCACGACACTTACCACACATGTACATTGTTAATGTTAGAGGGTGCTATCATATCACCACACGAATCGTTATGATAACGATTCGTGAGGTGATGGCGCCCTGTAAATGTACAGTATAGTAAATGTACAAACATGTACAGTACATGTACTTACATGTACTGTACATGAACAATGTACGGTACGTGTGATGGTTCGCGGGGTCATGGAACACCTGGAAAGTCTTCGAACCAAGACTACAGAGCACGCTGAGTACGCGTACTATTTCGGCATGTGTGGTCTTGTGCGTACACGCAGAACGCGTGCAAGACCCGCTTGTAACCACCTGTCTTCCTTTCACCAAATGGGGGTGCACTTCAGCTCGGGGCGGATTGATGGGCATCACAGCCAAGCCGCCCCCCCCCACAGCAGGCCCTGTACACGTTACAGCATGTGCAGCGATCGCAGGCACTAGCCTAATCCCTATGGGAAATAAAAACAGGAAGGACGCACCATAAAGATCACAGTAAAGCTAGAGGTGCCATTTACCGACTGTCCATCTATACAGTGAAACAATTACACCGATGGTCTTTAGAAGAGAAAATAATATCGTAAGTTTTGAAGTTTTCTTCTTATCAGGGAACGGTGCATGATGCTTTCGGACCCCCCACCATAGCAGGGGATCCCTTCAGTACGCCCATCAACCCCCGTATTCTTATGAAGCTCAAAGAACCGGCTCGGGAGAAGGGTGGAATGAGGCTATCAGACAGACTGAAGAAAACTCAAAAGAATTAAAATGTCTGCTCTCGTGAACATTTAATAAGGCCACCGGCCTCCAACAAAAATACGAAAAGAGCTGTACATAACAACGTGACGGAGCCAACGCCCTGTAGCCAACTGCACTGAATGAAGGCCACATCTATGTTTTTAACGTCGCAGTGAACAATAAAGAAAATTACAAACATTTTAGGTGACAGCTGTGATTACGTAAAAACGCCAGAACAGTATAATGAAAGCTAAATCCGCCTCTATTTCCCTCCTTAACTGAACTTTTCTGGCCTTTTTTGTTTTGTTTGTTTCTGTTGTTGC